TGACAATAACTGTGAGACTAGTATCGCACTGCTAATGGATTGGGATGTGAATGGCAGTGAGGCTAAGAAATCAATGACCGATGACTCGCCGACCAGCAGCAGCAGCACCGGTAGTAATAGCGGCGATACGTCGGTGCCCTTCAATGTGGTCGACCAGTCGATGAGCATTGATGTGAAACACATCGTCAATATGAAGGATAATGAGACCGAGGAGGACAACACGGCTGACTCGTGCAGTAGTGGCGAGTCTACCGGCGCTGCTGTCGGCAATGATATCGACTCCGACGATCCCTTTCCGCTAAACCTCGATATGGACTCAAAAGGGCAGCCAATTCGTGGCACAAGTAGTCCACCGAAACAGACAGATAGTGGCCAAAACACACTGGAGCTCAATCTACCGGCGCCGGTAGCCCTCGATGAGAGTTCAGACGACCTCTCATCGGATACGATGGACACCGCTATCGACACCCCAGTGATAGCTGAGGGCCGACCGATGGTCGTCAAAAGGCTGTCCACTAAGGGGTCGTCCAAAAAGCGGGTCCAACGGGTGTCCAAAGCGGGAATACCCCGTAAGGGGAACTCCGTTCGCTCACAGAAAAAGTTCAAGTGCCCCGAGTGTCACAAGATATACTTGAGCCCCCAGAATATGCGGGAACACCTACACAACACCCATACAAACCCCGACCAGAAGTATGTCTGTACGGTGTGTGACAAGGAGTATAGTTGGAAACATGCGTTAGACAGGCATTTCAAGTCCAAACATGTTAACCGTACGGATAGTTAGATAGGGGTTCTGGAGGGAGGGTATGGGTGTTGGGATTATATGGGTATTTATTTATTTATTGTTTTATTTATTCATAATTATGTTTTGAATTGTTAATATGATACTGTAATAATTTATAATTGTTTGAATCAAGTACAAAAACTTATGTTTAAACTAGTTGCTTTATAACCTTGTTTACAATAATTCTTTAAATTGTTTTTATTTACAGCTATTAATCTCAATAAACAAAATTTAATTTATTTATTTTATAACTTATATAAATGAATGTCCGAAACACAACTACTCCAGCTAATTATTGGG